CATATTAGCTCTAACCCTGTCTTCCATGAGAGAACCAAGCACATTGAAGTTGATTGTCATTTTATTAGAGAAAAAATCATATCCGGAGATATCAAGACTGAGTTCGTTAACTCAAGCAACCAGTTGGCAGACATATTCACCAAGTCCTTACGAGGACCTAGAATTGACTATCTTTGTAACAAGCTTGGAACATATGATTTATATGTTCTAGCTTGAGGGGGAGTGTTAGATGTTAAGTTGTGTGTTTCTGTTAATTGGGCTTAGCCCATTCTGTATTTAGGGTTTAACCCTTATCTTACATTATAAATAAACTACCCTATGTGTATGCTAAACACAAAAGGGAGATTTCTCCTAATCTTCTTCACTATATTCAATAGGATACATAAATATCACATTGACTGTTTATATATTTTTTCTTTAAGAAAAGGAAAGTAGGAAATATGTATCTATGATACGATATGATAATTTGTTTATCTATCCTAAAAACACCTTTAATGTTTTACTACATAAATTATTCATGTGTCTACACACGACGCCTTAAGTTTTGGGGATTGTTGACTTTTGACCGTTTCCATCTTATGCAGTTTTATACCCTTCCAATTATTGTTATGTTTTAAAAAGTTGAAAGTATTTGACTTGTCTGTTGCTTTCAGGATGAATCTGTTTTGATATGGTTCTCTGGGAAAGAAGAGAAGCGCCTTAAACTGACTAATGTTTCTAGGATTATATCTGGACAACGCACAGTAAGTATTTCACATTGATAAGGAAATCACTGATACTGTTTTGCTGCTACAGATTTAGCCAACAATGTCATTTCTTATTTTTATAAATAGTTGTTATAAGATAGTTGCGTAATTCATATAATTAATGAAGCTTGCATTTTATGTATGTAGTATTGTTATCTAACAATTTGTTCATGGCCAATATATAGATGAGATGTCATTCACTATCCATCTTCTACTTAGAAACATGCGAGGGAGGTTTCTTGTTATTCTTAATCTTTTCCTTTACATACCTATTTATGGAAGTTTTTGGATCTTGTTTCCCTTTAGGAGAAGCGTCAGATTTATTATGATTTACTGTTGGTTAATTTATTGTGGTAGTGAACTTTCTCTCTCGCATGCTATCGTTTACGTAGTTTCTTTCAGCAACTATTATTCTGTTTCTTTCCAGGAATTGATATATATGCCGATGTACTTTTCTGCTGTCTTTTTTAGTAACTTGTCATTTATGTAGAATGCACTACACAGTCATGTTGTATTGGTGAGCATGATCATGAGTTTCTTCAATAATCACAAATATATTCAGAGTTTATTCTTGAGTATGAGCATCTGCACTGAATTCATCAGAAGTGATAAGGTTCTCTTGTCTATGTCTGTTGTGACTAACTAAACATAACCCTATTTTTTCAGCCAATCTTTCAAAGATATCCACGGCCTGAGAAGGAATACCAGTCGTTTTCTCTCATTTACAATGATAGATCGTTAGACTTGGTATAAATTTCTATATTCATCTCCCCTTCCCCCTCTTCTTCAAATATGATCCATAGATGCAGCTTGGTAATTTGATTAACTTGGTATTAATAAATTTAATCAATTACTACCTACTGTCAACCACAAATTTGTTAAACGGGTGGTGGGCAGTGGCAGAATGTGTGGTAGATTCATGATTAACCTTGGATAAATTATTTGTTTAGTTAAATTTATGTTGGTTAATCAAATATCGTATGGTCACAAAATAAATAAGAACTTTTCCCAAGCTATATTGTGGGTCATTTTAGGGGTTGTCCTTTGTCTGCTGCTTTGATTGCATAAATATAATTTATATTATGAGTATTACTAAGGTATTTTGTTTCTAGAACTGTGTAATTTTGTGATCAATTCTTTTCTTCTAGATTTGTAAGGATAAAGATGAAGCTGAGGTTTGGTTCAGTGGATTGAAAGCTTTAATTTCACGCAGTCATCACCGGAAGTGGAAACCTGAGTCAAGAAGTGATGGTATTCCATCTGAAACTAATAGTCCTCGAACATACACTAGAAGAAGTTCTCCAATGAATTCTCCATTTGGTAGTAGTGAAAGCTTGCCAAAGGTATTACTATATTATGTTTCCTTTATTTTTTCCCTGTTTGGTTGCATTTCAGTTACAATGTTTCTTAGGATTGTTTCATTTTCCACATTCAGGACAGTGGGGATCATCTTCGGCTTCATAGCCCATATGAAAGCCCCCCAAAGAATGGTTTGGATAAAGCATTTTCTGATGTGATTTATTATCCTATTCCTCCAATGGGTTTCTTCCCTCCAGATTCTGTGAGTGGTTCACTCCACTCCGTGTCATCCGGAGGATCAGATAGCATGCATGGTCAAATGAAGACAATGCCTGTGGATGCTTTTAGAGTTAGTCTATCAAGTGCAGTTAGCTCATCTAGCCAAGGTTCTGGTCATGATGATGGTGATGCCTTGGGGGATGTTTTCATTTGGGGGGAAGGCACAGGTGATGCTGTACTAGGTGGTGGGTCTCACCAAGTTGGGAGTGATTTTGGTGTGAAAATGGATTCTCTGTTGCCGAAAGCCTTGGAATCTGCAGTAGTTCTTGATGTACAGAATATTGCCTGTGGTGGGAAACATGCGGCCTTAGTTACCAAACAAGGTGAAATTTTTTCCTGGGGAGAAGAATCAGGAGGAAGGCTTGGCCATGGAGTTGATTCGGATGTTCCTCATCCAAAGCTTATTGAATCTCTAAGTAATACAAATATTGAACTTGTAGCTTGTGGAGAGTATCATACATGTGCTGTGACACTTTCTGGTGATCTTTATACATGGGGTGATGGTACTTCCAATTATGGTCTTCTAGGGCATGGAAATCAGGTGAGCCACTGGGTCCCAAAAAGGGTAAATGGCCATTTGGAGGGAATACATGTTTCATCTATTTCTTGTGGTCCATGGCACACTGCTGTTGTAACCTCTGCTGGGCAATTATTTACTTTTGGTGATGGGACATTTGGTGTTCTGGGTCATGGAGACAGAAAAAGTGTTTCCTTGCCTAGAGAAATAGAGTCCTTGAAGGGTCTTCGTACTGTTCAGGCTGCTTGTGGTGTTTGGCATACTGCCGCTGTTGTGGAGGTCATGGTTGGAAATTCAAGTTCCAGCAACTGCTCTTCAGGGAAGCTGTTTACTTGGGGTGATGGAGACAAAGGTCGACTTGGGCATGGTGAAAAGGAATCAAAACTTGTTCCAACCTGTGTTGTAGCTCTTGTTGAACCTAATTTTTGTCAAGTGTCATGTGGTCATAGTATGACTGTTGCACTTTCTCGATCAGGCCATGTCTATACAATGGGCAGTTGTGTCTATGGCCAGTTAGGAAATACTCAAGCAGATGGGAAGCTACCAACCCGTGTAGAAGGAAAGCTGTCAAAGAGTTTTGTGGAAGAGATAGCTTGTGGTGCATATCATGTAGCGGTTCTAACTTCAAGGACTGAGGTTTTCACGTGGGGGAAAGGTGCTAATGGTCGTTTAGGCCATGGGGATACTAATGACAGAAGCACCCCAACATTGGTAGAAGCTCTGAAAGACAAGCAAGTAAAAAGTATTGCTTGTGGTACAAATTTCACGGCAGCCATATGCCTGCATAAGTGGGTATGTGGTGTTGACCAGTCTATGTGTTCAGGCTGCCGCCTGCCATTCAATTTCAAAAGGAAACGCCACAATTGTTATAACTGTGGACTTGTTTTTTGTCATTCATGCAGTAGTAAGAAATCTGTCAAGGCTTCAATGGCACCAAACCCCAACAAACCTTATCGTGTCTGTGATAATTGTTTTAATAAAATAAGAAAAACAACCGAAACTGATTCTTCATCTCAGTCCTCTATGAGCAGAAGAGGAAGTGTTAATCAGGGTTCACTTGAGTTTATTGGTAAGGATGACAAATTGGATTCCAGATCTCATAATCAACTTGCTAGGTTTTCTTCAATAGAATCCTTGAAACAAGTGGACAGCAGATCTTCGAAGAAAAACAAAAAGTTGGAATTTAACAGTAGCCGTGTCTCACCTGCTCCAAATAGTGGTTCACAGTGGGGAGCAATGAATATTTCAAAATCTTTTAATCCTGTTTTTGGATCATCGAAGAAGTTTTTTTCAGCTTCTGTTCCTGGATCTAGGATTGTTTCCCGGGCAACATCCCCAATATCTAGACGGCCTAGTCCACCACGTTCAACTACTCCAACCCCAACAGTAGGGGGACTTTCATCCCCAAAGATAGTTGTGGATGATGCTAAGAGAATCAATGATAACCTCAGTCAGGAGGTTATTAAATTAAGATCGCAGGTATTTTGACTTGTGCTTTCCTTGATAGATGGTATTCCCTTGCTTAAATATCATTTTAGTAGAATCTTAATCTAAAAAATCTCACATGTCATTTAGTCTCTCTGTTGTATTCAAACGAGGTCTTTCTTTTTAATGATATTATTTTAATGTGGATTGGGTCTGAATAAATAACCCCAGCTACCACGGGGAGAAAGAAAAATAAGCAAGAAAGGAGTTTATACCTATTGCTATAAGGCTTTGATTGTTTATAACTAAATTCATGTTTAATTGGAAGTAGCCACATCATTTGCTGTATTATATTATCTGCTAATGGTAGAGTTGTATATTAATTCACCGGCCAGAAAATATTAATGCAGAGAAGTAATATTGTCATGTTTTGAATTTTTAGTTATCATTACATCAGAGCATGTGCATGCAACTGTTTCAGAGATGGTGATGATAGCTGAGCTATCTCATCAACTGTACAAGATGTAGTTGGCTATAAGTTCATTAAGTTGGGTTCATGAGCCGAGTCTAAGTTGAAAATTGAAATTTTGACTTTCTCTATTCAATGAGCTGAGCTTGAACTTTTATTTGGCTCTGATACAAGTCCATCAGTATTAGGCCAAGGAGACCGACCTTGGATGTAGAAGAAATGAAATAGGAAGAAGAAAATTAAATAGACTAGGCCAGGACAGGACACACATGGCCTGTCTGGAGGAAACTTCTCTGTAGATACTTTTACAACACAAAAGTAAGAAGGGAAAATGTTACGGTATAAGGTAGGGGGTAATAATAAAGTTTGGAAAGTATATGAGAAGGAGAAAGAAGGTAGGAGGGAAGTGAGGCCGAATGGTATTGACCGTAAAGGCAGAACGGTGGAAGGCGTGGAGAGGTCTAGCCGAACGGTGGAAGGTGGTGAAGAGCTGGAGTCAAACGGTAGGAGACAGGGGGAAGCAAGCCGAACGGAGGAAGGCAAGGAGC